TCTCAGCTCACCGCAACCTCTGCCTTCCGGGTTCCAGCGATTCTCTGGCCTCAGCCTTCTGAGTAGCTGGGATGACAGGCATGCGCCACCACGTCCGGCTAATTTTGTATTTTTAGTAGACTCGGGGTTTCTCCATGTTGGTCAGGCTGGTCTCAAACTCCCGACCTCAGGTGATCCACCCGCCCTGGCCTCCCAAAATGTTTGGATGACAGACGTGAGCCACTGCGCCTGGCCTTGCAATTTCCAAATTTTTTATTGCCCCAAACAGAAACTTAGTACTTACTAAGCAATAACTCCCCACTTCCCTTCCTTCAGCCTTGGGTTAGTGCTAATTTACTTACTGTGTCTATGAATTTGCCTATTCCAGGTACCTCATGTAAGTGGGATCGTACGTTATTTGCCCTTTTGTGTCTGGATTATTTCACTTAGAACAATGTTACCCAAGTTCATCCATGCTGCAGCAAATGCAGCATTAGAGCTTCGTGCCTTTTGTGGAGAATAGTTATTCACGTGCGTGCACCACATTGTGTGCACACATTCTTCAGGCGATAGACATTTGTATTCTTCCCGTCCTCCTGTTATTATGAGTGACGCTGCTATGTGCGTTGGTGTATGAGTGTCTGATTGAGTCCTGCTTTCAATTCTTGTGGATATATAGCTAGAAGGGGAATTGCTGGATCATATGTTAATTCTATGTTTAACATTTTTTTTTCATTTTTAGTTTTTTTCGAGACGGAGTCTCACTCTGTGGTCCAGGCTGGAGTGCAGTGGCACAATCTCAGCTCACTGCAACTTCCACCTCTTGAGTTCAAGCGATTCTTGTGCCTCAGCCTCCCAAGTGGTTGGGATTACAGGCCCCCATCACCAGGCCAGGCTAATTTTTGTGTTTTTAGTAGAGATGGGGTTTCACCATGTTGGCCAGGCTGGTCTCGAACTCCTGACCTCAGGTGGTCTGCCTGCTTCGGCCTCCCAAAGTGTTGGGATTACAGGAGTGAGCCACTGCGCCCAACCTATGTTTAACTTTTTGAATAACCTTCAAATTGTTTTCCACAGTGGCTGAACCGGTGTACACTCCCCCCAGCAACACACGAGGGCTCCGATTTCTCCACATCCTTGCCAACATTTGTTGTTTTCTGTTTATTTTTGATAATAGCTACTTTTTTTTTTTTGAGATGGAGCCTTGCTCTGTTACCCATGCTGGAGTGCAGTGCCATGATCTTTGCTCACTGCAACCTCTGCCACCTGGGTTTAAGCAATTCTCATGCCTCAGCCTCCTGAGTTGTTGGGATTTTTTTTTTTTTTTTTTTTTGAGACAAGTCTCACTCTGTCGCCCAGGCTGGAGTGCAGTGGCGCGATCTCAGCTCACTGGCCTCCCAAAGTGCTGGGATTACAGGCTTGAGCCACCGCGCCCGGCCCTGAGTTGTTGGGATTACAGGCGCCCGTCACCATGCCTGGCTAATTTTTGTATTTTTAGTAGAGATGGCATTTCACCATGTTGGCCAGGCTGGTTTTGAACTCCTGACCCCAGGTGATCTGCATGCTTCGGCCTCCCAAGGTGTTGGAATTACAGGTGTGAGCCACCGCGCCCGGCCAATAATAGCTATCTTAGTGGGTATGAAGTGGCATTTCATTGTGGTTTTGATGTTTACTTCAAATGATTGAAGTAAACATCAAACTCCTGATGATTAGTGATGTTGAGCATCTTTTCATGCACCTGTCGGCCATTTGTGTTTCTTCTTTGGAAGAATGTTCATTCAAGTCCTTTGCCCATTTTAAAATTGAGTTGTTTTTGTTGTTGTTGAGTTGTAGGAGTGTTTGTGTTTTCTGGATATTAATCCCTTATTAGATACATGATTTCAGAGACTTTCTCCCATTCTGTAGGGTTCTTTTCACTTTTCGATAGTGTCCTCTGATACAGCAGCCCTCAACCTTTATGGCTCCAGGGACTGGTTTCATGGAAGACAATTTTTCCATAGACCAGAGGTCAGGGCAATGGTTTTGGGATGATTCAAGTGCGTTATTACTTTTATTGTGCACTTGATTTCTATTATTGTTACATTGTGATATATGATAAAATAATTACACAACTCTCCATAATATAGAGTCAGTGGGAGCCCCGAGATTATTGTCCTGCAACTAGACGGTCCCATCTGGGGGTGATGGGTCAGTGACAGATCATCAGGCGTTAGATTCTCATGAGGAACTGCAGCCAAGATCCCTCACATGTGCAGTTCACAACAGGGTTCGTGCTCCTATGAGAATCTGATACCACCGCCGATCTGACAGGAGGCGGAGCTCAGGCAGTAACGCTCACCCGCTGCCACCTCCTGCAGAGTGGCCTGATTACTAACAGGCCACAGAGCGGTACTGGTCTGTGGCCTGAGGGTTGGGGACCCTTGCTCTGATGCACAAAACTTTTTACTTTTGATGAAGTTCAATTTAATCTATTTTTTCTTTTATCGCCTGTGCTCTTGGTGTCATATCCGAGAAATTATTGCGCAATCCAATGTTATGAATATTTCTCTCTATGTTACTCCTAAGAGTTTTCTAGTCTTATCTCTTATATTTAGATCTTTGATCCATTTTGAGTTACTTTCTGTATTTGGTGTAAGGTGAGAGTCCAACTTTATTCTGGCTGGTTGTTGAAAAGATCATTCTTTCTCCACTTAATGGCCTTGGTCCCTTTGTTGAAAACCAGTTGACATATATGTGAGGGCTTATTTCTGGGTTATTATTCTATTCCGTTGATCTAGTTAGTTTTACGTTTTCTACCTTTTCTACTTGTTTTTGTTTAATAGTTTACCCTTTTTATCTGAACAAAATTCCTCTTTCAATAGTTGATCCTGTTGAATGTCTTCCGTAGCACTGGGCTTCCTCAGGTAACTTGGAATTTTGGTTTGAATAGAAGGCTTTTTATTGTCCTTTTTAAAAAATTTCGTTATATTTATCTTTTATTTATTTATTTATTTATCTGTTTGAGATGGAGTCTCGCTCTGTTGCCCAGGCTGGAGTGCAATGGCACAATCTCGGCTCACTTCAACCTCTGCCTCCCAGGCTCAAGCAATTCTCCTGCCTCAGCCTCCCAAGTAGCTGGAATTACAGGCACGTGCTTTTTGTGCTCAGCTAGTTTTTTTTTTTTTTTTGTAGAGATGGGGTTTCATCATGTTGGTCAGGCTGGTCTCGAACTCCTGACCTCAGGGGATCCACCTGCCTTGGCCTCCCAAAGTGCTGGGATTACAGGCGTGAGCCACTGTGCCCGGCCAATATTTATCTTATTTTTGACCCCCAGCTCTGTTGCAGATTTTGTCTGCCACTGCTATGTGTTTGGAGCAGGTGGTCACAAAGCCTTCACCAAGAATCCTGGATGTACTTTAGAGGCAGAGCCAGCAGAATTGTTGGTGAACTGGATGTGGCATATGAGAGAAGGACCGGAGTCAGGGATGAAGCTTCAGGTTTGGTTTAAACAATAGGTGACTGGTGTGATCCACTGACGGGAACAAAGGGGAAGGAGCAGGACTGGAAGTAAGAATAGAAAGTTTCTTAGTCATTGTGATGTAACAACTCTGAACTTTGGAAAAAAGGTACATGTGGGCCAGGCGCGGTGGCTCAAGCCCGTAATCCCAGCACTTTGGGAGGCCGAGACGGGCAGATCATGAGGTCAGGAGATCGAGACCAGCCTGACTAACACGGTGAAACCCCGTCTCTACTAAAAAATACAAAAAACTAGCCGGGCGAGGTGGCGGGCGCCTGTAGTCCCAGCTACTCGGGAGGCTGAGGCAGGAGAATGGCGTAGACCCGGGAGGCGGAGCTTGCAGTAAGCTGAGATCTGGCCACTGCACTCCAGCCTGGGCGACAGAGTGAGACTCCCTCTCAAAAAAAAAAATAAAATAAAAAAGAAAAAAAAAAGAAAAAAGGTACATGTTTTATACTTAGGTTAAAGTAAAAAAAAAAAAGAATTCTTTAGTTATATAATGTTTCATATACTTTTTAAAATACCCATATGGGACTGTTAAAAAGGCAGTTGGATATATGAGCCTAGAACTCCAGGTCTGGGTTAAAGATGTACATTTGGGAATAATAGACGTATATGATACTCAAAGCCATTGGGAAGCTCCTATATGGAATGAGGCTTGGGGCACCCAAGGTTTGAATCTCTGGCAGAGAAGGCAAAGCTGGCAAAAGAAACTAAGAAGGAGCCCCCAGGGAGTGGGAGGAAAACCGGAGAGAGTTGACCTGAGGCAAGAGACCACACCCTTTAAAGGAGACTTGACCATTAGAATTGGTCAGAGGAAGGCTTGACGTAGCATTTCAGTGGAGAGGTGGGTGAGAGCCTGGCTGGAGGCTGGAGAAAGCTAACGAGAGACCGCAAGGTAAGGAAGTGGAGAGACTTGAGGATTGACACCATCCTTGAGTTCTGATGGGAAGGGAACAGAGAAATGCTCTGTGGTAGAAGGCAGATATGGGATCTTTAGTTTCGTTCTTAAGATGGGAGATACTAAGATATGTTTTTATGCTGATAGAACTGACCACAGTGGCTTCCTCATTCCACCTTCCCAATACCCTACTTCCACGTCTTCCTGAGATAAGGGGAAGAACGGTGGTATTTGGGGGTCAGTTCAGGAGTCCCTCAGGCTCCATCCTGCTCCTGCTCTCAGTCACCACTGCCTCTCAGAAGGCAGCTTGAAGTGCAGCTGGGGTTGGTTTGGGGATATGGGTCAGGCTTAAACTCAATTGGTGGACAGATTTCCTGCCATGCCAGGGGCCAAGTGTCTATTCAGAGATGGTGCCTTTGAACGGGAGGTTTGGTCATGTGGGTGATGGTGAACATTCCTGCGAGAGCTTCTGGATTCAGTTCCTGCCTGCTGTCACCTGGCAAGCCGCTCTGTGCTGGCCCTGTGGTTGGACATGTGGGGACACAGGACCCCGGTGCTGGGAGCAGTGTCCTCTTCCAGACTCACTGTGGAAACCTTTACTTCCCTTCTTCTCCTTGTTCCTGCCAGGATCCTTGCCACGGCTGGAACTGACTTCGACCTGCGAACACTGAGGGCTGTGCGTGTGCTGAGGCCCCTAAAGCTGGTGTCTGGGATTCCAAGTGAGTCCAGCGAAGATAGGCCCAAGCCTGCCTGGAACAACCACCTCCTCTCCTACCCTCACCATGGACACGGCCATGGCTACAGTTTGGCTTTGGTGACTTGACTCTGAGCTTGTCCCTTTTGACCCCAGGGAACCAGGCAGGAGGAAGGGAGGAGCAGGCCTTTTTTGGCCTGTCCCGCCCTCCATGAAAGCCCACAGGGTGATGCTGTTATTTGACCCTGACCTGGCTTCCCGAGATGGAAGCTTTGTTCCTTCTCACGTACTCTGTCACATTTCATCACTTTGCTTCTTTTACTGAGGTTAAAGAATGGATGAGAGGTTGACCAAGGTGGTGGGGAAGGATGCCTGAGAAAATGTGCAAAGGCTGCAAAGGGCCACTTGTCTCTTGGCTCAGTCTTGGCAGAGTCACTGGGGACTGAGGCCAGCCTTAAGACATGCTCCTGAAGTGGGCTGCCCACAGAGCCTGCCACGAGCAGGAGGATGGCCAGGGTGACCTTGTGAGCCAGTGACCACCTGGACCCCTATTCCTTCAGCCCAGTGGAAGTCTGGTTTTAGGTTTACCTAAGGGCCTGAGTGGACATGGAACTAGTGCTTTGTCCTCCAGAGGCCACTGAGGGAAGACCGGTGATTGGCTCCCTGTTCTGCCCTGAGACTCTGCCAGGCAAGGGTTCTGGCCCATATCCAAGTGCTGGGGCCAGGCTGCAAGGGGAGGGGTCAACGGTTACGGGCTCCTCTGCCCAGTTCCTCACATGCTGTATAGCCAGTGGCAGAACTTTCCCAGGGGCAGGTCTTTTTGCCTCACTTTCTCCCAAGGAGTTGGGTCTGTTAGGAATCTCCCCCAAGATCCCCTGCTCTTCTCTCCCAGGATCCCCTGCCCTTCCCTCCCAGGGTCCCCTCCTCTTAGCTCCCAGCATTCTCTGCTCCTCCCTCCCAGGATCCCCTGCTCTTCCCTCCCTGGATCCCCTGCTCTTCCCTCCCAGGATCCCCTGTTCTTTCCTCTCAGGATGTCCTCTGATTCGGCTCTTCCTTCTCAGGGTTTCATTCTCTTTCAGGATTCTCTGTTCTTGCCCCACCCTGAGCCCCACTCCTCACCTCAGACTTCATAACTTGACACCCACACATCCCACTCTGCCTCCTTAGAGACACTTCTCAGTCAACTTCTCTCTAGGACCTTATGCTTTGTCCCTAGGACTCTCAGCTCTGCCCTACACAAGCACTCTCTGCCCCTCTGCGCCTTCAGGGGCTTTAGCTCTGTCCTTTGACCTTGCAAGCACTCACTGCTTAGCACCTTGCTGTCCCCGCTAGGTTCCTGCTGTTCTGTCCATGCCCCCACCCAACTCCTTGCCCTACCCTGCCCACATTGCTTCCTGACCTGCCCTGTTCTGGCTCCAGGTTTGCAGGTGGTGCTCAAGTCCATCATGAAGGCCATGGTTCCACTCCTGCAGATCGGGCTGCTTCTCTTCTTTGCCATCCTCATGTTTGCCATCATTGGCCTGGAGTTCTACATGGGCAAGTTCCACAAGGCCTGCTTCCCCAACAGCACAGGTGAGGCCAGGCAGCACCCTCCAGCACAGGCGAGTGCCACAGATGCGTTCATCCAGGAGATGGGCACTGTTCTGGGTGCTAGAGGGGCCTTCTTGGTGCCAGATACATGAGGTGGAGCTGACATTCTAGTGGGGGACATAGACAATAGCCTGATAAACACAAGTAAATAAACAAACACAGAAATATAGTAATTATCGATTGTAGTAACTTTTGGGAAGAAAACAAAAAGGTATTTGAACTAGAATAATTTGGGGCCTACTTTACGGAGGGGCCCAGGAGGCCACTCTGCCAAGGTGACCGTCGAGCAGCTTCTGAATGCAGGGAGATGGGAGCCGTGTGGCCACCTGAGCAGAACTTTTTTTTTTTTTTGAAACGGAGTCTCGCTCTGTCGCCCAGGCTGGAGTGCAGTGGCCGGATCGCAGCTCACTGCAAGCTCCGCCTCCCGGATTTATACCATTCTCCTGCCTCAGCCTCCCGAGTAGTGGGACTACAGGCGCCTGCCACCTCGCCTGGCTAGTTTTTTGTATTTTTTTTAGTAGAGACGGGGTTTCACCGTGTTAGCCAGGATGGTCTTGATCTCCTGACCTCGTGATCCGCCTGTCTCGGCCTCCCAAAGTGCTGGGATTACAGGCTTGAGCCACCGCGCCCGGCCCTGAGCAGAACTTTAGTTACCAGGAGTATGAGGTGCAAAGGCCTATGGTGCGGAGCAGGGACAACGAGAGGAATCATGTGGGCTCCATGGCCCTGTCTTATTCTGAGAGAAACGGGAAGTAGTGGAGCACTTTGAGCGAGATGTGGCATCTTCTGATCATTCGCGCTGCTCTTGGGAGGCAAAGGCAGAAACAGAGTTGAGGAGAAGATCTCAATCCAGCAGAGGTGATGGTGGCTGGGGCCAGGCTGGGTATTGTGGCAGAGGTGGTTAAAATGGGTCAAATTATGGGTGTATTTGTAGGTAAAGCCAACATAATTTTCTGAGAGTCTGTATGTGGGGGTAAGAGAAAGAGAAGAGTTAAGGATGAAGCTAAGGTTTGTGGCTTGAACTACAAACTTATTAAAGGAGAAAACCCAGCCGGGCAGTGGTTCACCTACAGTCCCAGAACTTTTAGAAAAAGGTTTTACTAGAATTTAGATCATTTATGATTTAAAAAAAAAACATTTAATCCAACTGTAAATAAAAGAGAATTTTCTTAAATTCCCGTAGATTTCCTGCAAACATCATACCCCACTGTAAGCCTTGAGAACTTTCCTTTTACCCTTTACAGTCAAGAACAAAGCAAGTCGCTTCTAGTCCACATAGCATTTGTAGTCATGGCCAGGTCATGAGACAAGAAAAAGAAGAAAAAGTTAAAAAAAAAAAAAAAGAACTGGAAAGGAGGAGATGAAACTCATTGTTCCTAGTCTTCTTTACCGGCACTTATCAAGATATTTGGATGGAGAGGAATAAGCTTAGGTAGTCAGTTTTGCCTTCTAAACCTGGGAGTATTTGCTTTCCATCTGAGCAACTCCTCACAATTTCTCCCATGTTGATAGATATTTTCATGTTGTTATACTTTTTTTTTTTTTCATTTGAGACGGAGTCTCGCTCTGTTACCCAGGCTGGAGTGCAGTGGTGCAATCTTGGCTCACTGCAGCCTCCGCCTCCCAGATTCCAGCAATTCTCCTACTTCAGCCTCCTGAGTAGCTGGGATTACAGGCGCGTACCACCACGCCCGGCTAGTTTTTGCATTTTAGTAGAGACAGGATTTTACCATGTTGCCCAGGCTGGTCTTGAACTCCTGAGCTCAGGCAATCTGCCCACCTTAGCTTCCCAAAGTGCTGGGATTATAGGCGTGAGCCACCGTGCCCGGCCTACATTTTTTAAAAATATTTTTTTCCTGCCTTTCATTGAGATTTTTGAGAGTGAAGGGGGTAAACGTGCTGCTTGCTATCTTGTTCCAGAGATGAGCAGTGGTTTTCTGGTCTTTCTTTAACCCCTCTTTCTGTGGTCCCTGGCTGCCTGCTAGGTTTCAGCACAGTAGAAGGATGTCCGCCCTGTAGGGTCAGTGCAACGAGACCTGGGCCAGGAGGTCTCCAGCCACCCTCTGGGCACATCTTCGGTTGGTTCCAGATCATCCTGCCTGACAGGCACCAGACTGCACAGCGGCTGAGTCCAGCTTGGGACTGGCCAAGGGTCTCAAGTCAAATCTGTGTGTCAGGAGGATCTTGCTGGCAGTTTGGCTGTGAGGGAGAGGAACGGTCAGCGTGGCAGTTTGGCTGTGAGGGAGAGGAACGGTCAGGGTAGCAGTTTGACTGTGAGGGAGAGGAACGGTTGGGGTGGCGGTTTGGCTGTGAGGGAGAGGAACGGTCGGGGTGGCAGTTTGGCTGTGAGGGAGAGGAACGGTCAGGGTGGCGGTTTGGCTGTGAAGGTGGCAGTTTGGCTGTGAGGGAGAGGAACGGTCGGGGTGGCGGTTTGGCTGTGAGGGAGAGGAACGGTCAGGGTGGCGGTTTGGCTGTGAGGGAGAGGAACGGTCAGGGTGGCGGTTTGGCTGTGAAGGTGGCAGTTTGGCTGTGAGGGAGAGGAACGGTCAGCGTGGCGGTTTGGCTGTGAGGGAGAGGAACGGTCAGGGTGGCAGTTTGGCTGTGAGGGAGAGGAACGGTCGGGGTGGCGGTTTGGCTGTGAAGGTGGCAGTTTGGCTGTGAGGGAGAGGAACGGTCGGGGTGGCGGTTTGGCTGTGAGGGAGAGGAACGGTCGGGGTGGCGGTTTGGCTGTGAGGGAGAGGAACGGTCGGGGTGGCAGTTTGACTGTGAGGGAGAGGAACGGTCAGGGTGGCGGTTTGGCTGTGAGGGAGAGGAACGGTCGGGGTGGCGGTTTGGCTGTGAGGGAGAGGAACGGTCAGGGTGCTGGGAAGAATGGGAGGTTAGGAGTTTGTTGTTTTTGGTTTTAAGATGAATGGGCTGTGAGCCTGTTTAAGTGATGGTGGGCAGGTTCCAGTAGGGAGGGAGAAGCCGGCCGTTACTCCCTGAGCTGGTCGCTCCTGAGCTCAGGGAGGGGCAGCAAGAGGCGATGCCTGACGTAGGTTCAAGGAGGAACGGTGGGAAGTTGAGGAAGGGCTTCTGTTGGTGCCTGGGGCCTGCCCACCTGCTGTGAGCTCTCCGGAGCCCGGGAATCCTGGTGGGGATTGGAGGGCTTGGTATTTCTGAGCTCAGGGTCTGCTTCGTTCTCCTCCTTGCAGATGCAGAGCCCGTGGGTGACTTCCCCTGTGGCAAGGAGGCCCCAGCCCGGCTGTGCGAGGGCGACACTGAGTGCCGGGAGTACTGGCCAGGACCCAACTTCGGCATCACCAACTTTGACAACATCCTGTTTGCCATCTTGACGGTGTTCCAGTGCATCACCATGGAGGGCTGGACTGACATCCTCTACAACGTGAGTGGCATCGTGGCCCTGGGCCTGAGGGCGGGTCCTGGACCTTCTGAGCTGGTGCCTCTGGGGGTCCACCTAGGGGGGCCCTTCTGACCTCAGAGCCTCTGCCCAGCCCCAGGCTCCTCCCTGCACCCCTAGGATGAAATACAGGCTCCTTCCGGCAGACGCCCCACCCAAGGGTACACCACAGGCAGCCTCAGCTCAGCCTTCTGAGGTGGGTCCTCCTGGAGTCGTCTCCTTCATGAAAATGAAGCTGAAGGCTGAGTGGCAGAGGTCAGAAGAAAACTCCAGAGGAGATGCTGCTGTTTCTGTTGTCAAGGATGGCAGCAGCACCGACAGCTGATGCCCACTGCTAGCCTGCTCTGGGTTAGGCCCTGTGGGAAGTGTTTTATTTCTGTTGACTCCTCTCAGGAACCTGTTGCACAGATGATGAGGCTGAGTTGTGTAGAAGCTGACTAACTTGCTCCAGCCCGAGGACTTGCTCCAGCCCGAGGACTATGGGCAGAGACCCTCTAGGGTCTCTGATGGAGTCGAGGGCCAGTAGGGCTTCTGGGCCTCCCGTCCCCAGGCTGCCTGGCGAAGGTGGTGAACCGCAGAGCAGGGCCGAGGCCCCCGAGACCTTCCTCGGTCACGTGGGGATTCCTGGAGTAGAGCCTGTGGCGTGTGCATTTGTTTCCTTCACGCCTAGTCTGTCTGCTCCTGTTTCCTCTTTGGTCTCCTCGCTGTCATCAGGATGCCGGCCTGTCTCCGTGGTTTACGGCAGCCTGGGTTTGGTGGCCGTGATTGAAGTTGAGTGTGAGGTGCCTGATGGCTCAGCTCCCTTGCATTATCTCCACCTGGGTCCTTCTTGGTGGAGTCTCCCATCCCCAACCACCGACTCTTGAGCAGATCTACCTCTTTATAGGAAGGCCCCTGCTGCTCTCTGGCCCCTCCGTGAGAGCCCTGTGAGCCGCCAGGGCATGAGAACAATTACGTTAGTACTTGAGAGGCTGTGGGAAGTGGAGAAGGGTCAGGTGCCTGTGGGCCAGGAGTCTGGGAAGGGTGCTAGGTTTTGAGTAACTAGAGGACGTGTTCCCCTCAGGTGCTGTCAGGGCAGGCAGGGGCCGGAGTGCAAGGTGCTTTCACCTAGAGCTTGTCACTGTGCCCTGGGGTGAAGCTTCGTCCACGTGCGCCTGGGAGCCTGTGCCTCTCTCCCCAGCCTCCAGCAGCTGTGCCCATGAGGGCTGGTGGCATGATGGTGGACAGGTCCTGGGGAGAGACTGGGGCCCTCTGCCCTGTGCCTCAGGCATTCATGGGGACAGGGCTGGGCATTCAGCAGGCATTTGCCAAATGCTTGATGAGCTCGTTTATCAAGCTTCTTGAACAGGCAGATGGCAGATGAGGAGTTAAGGAAAAGCCAGCACAGGGTCCGTTTGAACCAGATTCCTCCTCCAGTGGGAGTCATGTCTGATGACAGCTTGTGTGATTGAGGGAAAGAGGAACAGGACAAAGGCGGTGATGAAGAGCTTGGCTGTTCTCTCCCTGTAGCCAATCAAGGAACGATTCCCACAAAGACAGACCCTAAAAATAGCTCTGAGCTGGCTGCAGTCCTGCTGGCCCCACCCAAATGAAGGACTGTGTGACCAGGTCTCCACAGCCCTCAGTGTCCACTGGGACTTGGCCAGGGGCGGCACATGACTCAGATTCTTCTGCCTGGGTCTGTGCCTCCCCGGGGAGGGCATGGGCAGGAGCCCCATCCTGGGGCAGGTGGCGCTGGCCAGGAGGAGCCACCGAGTGTTTCAGCCAGCACGTGTTTCAATAGGTCCCAGTGAGCCGTGGCTCTGCTTGCACAGTGGTGAGCAGAGGCATTCGATACACAAGGGCCTGGACAATGGCGAGTGCCATGAAGAAAACAGAAGAGGATGAGGAGCAGACAGTGACGAGTTACAGGGTACTGGGAGGGCAAGGCCTGGCGAGGTCTAGAAACCAGGCATGCAGGTGCTACGGTACCTTGGAAGCTTGGCCGGGGCAGCAGGATGCAGTCATGGCAGTGCCTGGGGCTGGCACCACACAAGGCCCCAGAGCAGGTAGCCAAGAACCAACTGGTCCACTCCTCCACACTAAGGACATACGTGGTTGGTCGCTGGAGATTAGACAGGAGTTTTGAAGAGGATCCTTTGGAGAGAGAGCCTGCCCCTCACCTCCAACCCAGTGAGAGGGACTTTTGTGGCCCCTGGGATATATGCTCCTTCAAGCAATGACATCTGGGTTCTTTGCAGGCGGAAGCCCACGGCCTTCAGTAGGAACAGGAGCCTGCAGCCTGCGGTAGGGGCGGGAGGCCACGCCTGGCCTGCGGTAGGGGTGGAGCCCCGCGGCCTGC